CAGACAATTGCCTGCTTTTATCCTTACAAGTATTTGCCCCCAGCATTTCCCCTCGTCTTTATGTAAATCTCTGCGTACCCAGACCCTAGTGACAGTGGGGTGATAGTGATCTGCTGTTTGGAGTGGACGGTTAGTTATGTAACTGATGGGGTCCGATGGCCCTGCTCTGACCCTAAGTAATGTCCTCTTTCCTTAAACTCTCACAGGAGCACACAAACTGATTGCTATCACTCTCAAAGAGCCAGAGAGTGCTGTTTTACTATCAGCCTGCTTTTGTGTCTGTAGGGATTTTATAAGGTTTGGTGCAGGTTGAATGGTAAAGTGTAATGGTGCATAAGGACAGAATAAACTGAACTGTGAAGCTAAGGCCTAAGACTTTATCTGTGCATTCTCAACAGTGATCAATGCAGTAGTGAGGACAATGCATGTAGTGCCATAATTGATAGAATGACCACTCTCCACTTGCATTGAGATTTCACTTCAATGTCATGATGCACTGTTACATCCCAATTGTATAGCCACGATTTTGAGTGTTGTTGTTGTCCCCAGGAGCTACTTGCCTGCCTTTCTCTGTCTGCTTCTAATCTTGAAACTCATGTTTTTTAATTGGCGTTTGGTAGAACTTTATCATTCGTTTCCTTTCCTTGTCTACACTTTTATCTTAATATGTAACCTGACTTTTATTTGGCTTATTTTAATTATTTTATCTTTTTGATCTTATTGTACAGTGTCCTTGGGTGTTTTGGTGCTTTTAAATAAAATGTATTATTATTATTGTTGCTGTTATTATTATTATTATTGTTGTTGTTGTTGTTGTTGTTATTACTCCAGCATATCACATATTGAACACATTAAAAAACATGTCCATTAATGTCCTGAAATTTACTTACTGGAATTGTACTTAACCCTGTATACCCTAAAGGTCTGTATGCGGGCTCATATTTTTGTTCCTCGCTCTAATATGTACATACATTATGTATTAGTTTCATAATAGATATTGAATAATTCATAGTAGTTACTCAATAATAAGCCGGAAGCTTAATAACTGAATAATAAATTAATAAATAAAGGGGTTAACAGAAGTCAGAAGTAAGTAGACCATTTTAAGTGCACTCGTAGTAAAAATACTAACAGTGGCATGCTCAAAGTATGTGAGCGGCATGGAGGAACAAGCTTTCGCATGACCCTAGATTATGTAAACCCATCGGTTTCCTGAAGATTGGGTCAGGAGGAGGGACAGGTAGAGGTCACGCAGGTCATTTGGGAGTTTTTATTGGTTGAAGCAGATGGCCCTCTCTCTCCACGTCATTGTGAAAGTAGCCGTGTCCTACAGGGTCAGGTTTAACAATAGTTAAAGAGGACAAAGGAAAGACCTAGGCCAAGCAAGATTTCTAAAGGAGCTGCCCCAGCAGTGGAGGCTATAAACATGGCTACTGCCAGATTTACTGAGTTACAAGTCATGAATTCACTGCCCGTCATGTGCTCTGAGTGTTTTATTTGAATGCTGCTTTGGGGAAGAGCTTCTCTGGGCGCTCAGGAGTCTACAAAGTTCTGCACAGCATGACAGTGCGTCACTGGCTACCAGGTTCAGGAAATACTGCTCAGTGATCACTTCAATGAGCTTTACAGTAAATGTACACTGCATTAGGACATCTTAGAGTCTCTATACTTAATCAAGTCTATGGCTCCTTAGTGATATTTCATTTTTTGTCTATATCAAAGTTGCAAATACAAACAGACAACATCTGTTGAGTCTTGGAGTAGAAAAGAAAGTGTTTTGATTCAGGCAACACATTTTACAAGCTTTCTCTGCATACAAGAATTTCTGCTCTCCATTTTTCTTCTATGCATGTTTTTTTTCTCATTCTTGGTTTCAGTAAGAGGAGAAGCAGAAAGGGAAGGAAAAAAGTTTATGTTCCTTCACAAACATGTGACCCCTTTACACAGCTGAAAATCATTTAGTCTTGCAGGTCAGCTGTGAACTGTCAGAGAGCGAGAGAGAAAGTTAGAGTTAGAAGTATTTTATGTATATGGCCTTAAATGAGGTAAGGATTTACCAAATTGTGTAAAAAAAATCAGAATAATTTAAAACTTGGTTTACGATGTTACCCAAATAATCCAAGTCTTAGCTTGGCCTTAAAGTTTTAAAAGTAGAGGGCAAGCAGTTAAGCTGGCAATTCCTCTGAAATTCATGCCTTTGCCACACCAAAGAACAGAACAACATACGCAGAATGGCTTCAATATTGCTCTTGGCAGACCCTCAAAACCAGTCCACACTCCATGCCAGCAGAGCCGCTGGGATTTCAGCAATGCCAAGCACTTCTGATGGACAGGTAGTATAGACACATGTGAGCTGCACATTTGATCGCCAACAAGACAAACCGCAACTTCCCCCAGCACTGAGCTGAGCTCACTGAACCAAAACTCCAATCACCAGCATATGTCATAAGCCTAGAAGTAGCATGTATAAGTAGTAGAGCAGGCACTGTAAGTGTCTTCATTAGGGCTGTGGTGGTCAGATATGAATGTAATGTAGGTTCATTTTTAGAGCATTTGTTTGAGGGTTTGTAGAGGCTGAGCTGAGATTATTCACATCTCCCACATCGTCATGAGGTCATGCTTCCTCTTGGCAGGGGAGTGGGCCATTGGAGGGAGTGGGTAGGAATGCAAAAAAGCACAAGCACATGAATGGCAGTCCTTCCCAGATGTGTCTATTAAGTGGTAACACCTGTGTTGAGTGCTCAGTCTACCCCAAAACAGAGCAAACTGCTTAGCGGCTCTTTTATTGGATGGCTGATAATTACTGTTAGCTGTGTGACTCAGGCAAGGGAGGTATATGAGGGGACAGAGGTCAACACAGATGCAGAAGTCATCCTTGTATGCTCGTCTGAGACACATTTTATGGGTTTTCTTCCTGTAAAGGCTAAAAATAGAGTCTAAGAAGCATTATTTAAAAAAAATAGGATATTTGTTCTGTTTGTGGCACCTTTGTAGGTATTTTATTTCCACATTATAGCTGTTTGACCTCACTGTGAACCAAAGTGGTAGAGGTTTTAGTTCCACAATTTACAAACAAAACGAAGATAAATAAACCATTTAGACCTTTTATGGTTCTTTGTGGCTTTTACATAGTTACTTATTGTGCTGACTGTTGGTTTTTGCATTTAGAGCTCAATTCTAATAGGGCAACTTGATCCCATCCACGTTATTCAGCGTTGTAGAAAACAAGGTGCTAGAAATGCTGCTTTTTGTTGTGTTTTTAAATAAATGTTGCTGGTTTTAAAAAAAGGTCCTTGTAAAGCACAAATGATCAGTTACTACTCACAACACAGCTTGTATTTTGGATCTTATGTGAAATAGTCAGATTTCTGGATTAAATACAGTCGAGAATCTGTTATGGTTAGTAGACTAGTCTGTTGTCTCATGTGTCCATTCTCCTTTGTCCAGTCTTCCTCACTGAATGCATTTGATGAGGCCGTGAGAGTGTGTTTTGGTGTAACCCTGAAAAGCTGTGTGGATAATGGAGTGTGAAAGGGAAAGGTGATTTTGTTGACCAGATGTCAGCTGTTTATCTGTGGTTACTTCACCATATCCAGAGCCCAACCAGCACTTTGGCATCCACACTGAACTCACTAACCCTGGATTTGTCTTTGGGTGGTGAGTCAGCAGCAGCCTCAAGTGCTGTCATGGTTACGCTGCGCTTGTTTAATGAAAATATTTCCTTCTCGTGAGTCAGGATTATGATCAGAAACGGCCAATATTTCCCAAAAAGACTTTCATATGGAGCACAGGCAGACGGTATTTCAGCCTTTTGTTTCGTGGATCACTATCAGTCCAAATGTCTGTTACTTGGCTTGAGTCTCTTGGCATTCTGTGCATACAGTTTGCGATGGGTTTGAAGTCAAGTATTTCTGCTTTTGAACTTGGGGTCAATGAATAATATTGATCTAATTTTAAATCGTTTGAACTCTTTGACCTCAGGGTTCTTCTCTCTGTGTGCAGATGTGCAACAGACTGTGTCTGGGTATTTAAAAGGGGTTTAGCTATAGGGCTGGTATCAGGGTAAATTATGTCACAACATGTCACAGTATGCTTTTGTGGGCATATTGTGGATGTGGTCAGCATGTAAAAAACATTCCCAACTCCATGTTTGATCAGATTATTCCTGTTTAATTGGATTTTGTGCAGCACAGCATGTTAAATATTGAATACAAATTCATAATTTGTGATAGTATTTTAAATTTTAAATGTCTGTGTATGTTTTCTGTTTCTCAAATTGTCAGTCTCAACTTATCACATGTCAGAAAAAGTAAATATCACAACATATTGTGTATCGTGAGATTGTGCAGTGTTGTCATATTACATTTTTGCCATATCTTCCACGTCTGTTTAAGTAATACACATATTTTCTTGTTTTCATTTCATGTCTGAGGTCAAGATTTATTTTTTCAGTATTGTGTGTGTGTGTGTGTGTGTTTGTGTGTGTGTTAAAATGTTTCATTTCTACAGAGCTCTAGTTATATATTTCATAGATTGAGTTTGTTCCAAAAAAATCAATAATTCTTTAAAAGGTTACACACTAGTATGTCTGTATACAAGATAGTGATTGTATTGTAACAGCTCTGAAACCTAAACTGCTTCATATAAATCCTCATATAGCATGTCTCTATTTTCATTTCCCCCCTTCTAAAACTGAAACATCAACATAAACACAAACGCACAGTTAAATTATGTGCAAAGTCTTTGCTGCTTCTGAAACTAAGCATGAACTGTGACTAAGTTATTCTTTCTGCGAAAGAAGGCCAATCAATGAGAGACCTTTGGAAGAGGCACATTTCAGAGATATGGTTTTAAATTTTGATACACTGTTTCAAACGTGTCTTCTGTTTCTCAGTACTGTATTACAGTTGTTACACCCTGAGTGTTTAACCATTTATCTTGTCTGTTGTTATGTCTATTTGGGTTATTTCTGATTCTGACTTCCCTCTGTATCTTCTCAGGATGCCAGCTGCTAGCATCATGACCGGTGGGAGAGCTCTGCTGCTCTGTACAAACACAGAGAACTGCATCTACCAGTCAGTTAACGGGTATGACAGTAACATACTACACCTCAAAATCAACTTGCAGCCTTTTCACATGTATATATATATATATATATATATATATATATATATGTAGATAATAATATGTGGATATATATATATAATTTATGGTGCATAAAGTTTTTTTAAAAAAAGATAAAAATATGGCTAAATTAAACAGAAATAAGGCATGGGTCTGTTCTTCATCTTTAGAATGCTTGCAGTCAGTTCCAGAATGCTATTTTTAAAAATATTGAGTACTTTGAGTACTCAAGGAGCTTTGACAGACAAATGAGCACATAGATTGAGCTGTCTGTTCAATAGAGTGGAGTGGAAACCCATACCAAAAATATGTGATAGCACTGTCCCTATGTTGTCAATCATTTTTCATGTTGTTGCTGTTGGACTAAAACCTCCATAATTGTAATGTTTCAAATGAAGGAAAGAACAGTCCTAACTTTCAATGGAAGTTGAAAATGTAAAAAGATTTAATTCTAAGTAATGTTGGGACCATTTCTGTTGGTCCATTCATCATGAAACTTTCACACAGTGTAAAGGTCTGTCGGTGTTTTCAAAATATGTCAAAAAATTAAAAATGACAAAAATGGAGGTACAGCGTTTTTTTCCCAAAAGTGATGATATAGCTTTCATAGATTTTGATTTGGTGTTGTCCTGAGTCTGATGCAATTCTGAAACGCAATTAGGGCTAATAACTAAACAGAAATGCCTACAAACCGCAAATCTGTTTTGCTCTTTAATGACCTCTGGGCCACGATTTCAAACCACTTTTTAGTATTTCATCCAGTGAAATCAATCAAAATTTGTTTGGATAACTTTTGAAATCTGGCTCCAGAGCCTGCATGAGTAAAGGATCTCTGATTAGTATCAAATCTTGATGCTGATCTATGTTAGCTAAATTGCACACACATATTTGGAAACTCTCAGTCCCCAGGTGTTACATTCAGGGTGGTTTCAGGACAAGCCTAGCAATGAATATATTTCACTGAAATCTAATTAAAGCTCTAAGCACTGCCATATTCTATTAGCTAAATAATGACTTGCCTTGGTGGATTGGAATGCCATGGCATGTTGTTAAGGGCAGTAAAACCTTCAGCAGGAGGAACTTTGAACTTTGTACTGAGCTCATTCTTATTAAGTCCTTTTTACTTAAATATGTCACTAAGATGCATAACAGGCTGTAAAAGGCAGAATCTGAACAAATAAGGGCAAAGAGATCTTGGTTTCTTCTTTGACTGTTTACCTCCTTCCCATCAGCTCATGGTGCCTCAGCCCTGTCAAAACATCCTCTTTGTTTTTTTTTCTGGTGGAAAGAGCTTTAGATTCTCGGTTGGCGTGGGTGGTGGGTGATGTTACCTTCCCTCAGTTTAGTTTCCAAGCTTAGCCCTTTTTTCATCAAATAGTCCATTCCCTTCCAGCAAGTAGAAGGATACGGTCACCCCCTCCTTTTTTGGTCTGCTCCTCTTTCTCGTTCTCCCCCTCTTCACTTCACCCTCCCACTCTCTTTTTCTCTCCCCGTCTCTCTTTTTCTTGGTTTTTGGAGTTTGACCTAGTTTTTCTTCTTCACTGCCTTACGTTTTGTGAAATGAAAAACTCCAACCAGCAGGAGAAAAAAATATGCTTCAAGGAGAATCGCTGAATGTCTGTTTGAATTTAATTAGGGACGAGTTTGTAATTTACAAAAAAAGTCAAAGCAGAAACATGCTTGAATGTAGACTTTCCTGTGGCCTTTTTTTAAAAATCCTACAGCAATGACACAAAAAGCTGCAAGGTTCATGTTTCCTCCATTTGTTTGTTAGAAAGATATGATTGGATGAGCTGGCTGCAGTCCAAACTTATGCTTATTTGCTGAGCCAATTAAAGACAGAGAAAGATGCACGTCTGTCCTATGACTTTTGCCCTTCTGGGGGAAACTCCCTTATCCTACTGCTAGCTCAAGAGGTTTGGAACCAACCCATGACCTTAAATCTGATGCATATGCACAAACCAAAAGTTGCCTAAGATGACGTTTTCCATCCATGGTTTCCGCAGCTGATTAAATGCTCTTACTGTGTAAAGATTTATCAAAGTATTGAAAAGTATGAAGCTGAATGATCAGCATTGTTTAGATCAACAGTTCTTACTTTTACGTTGTTTAGTATTTCCCCTGCCAGGGCAACTCAGAAAGGGCTTGTTGGGGCTCCCGAGTGGCGCAACCGTTGGCCCTATCATCAGGAGATCGCAAGTTCGATCCCTGGTGATGCTACAGCCATCCGTAGCCGGGAGTCCGAGAGAGCACAGTTGGCCTTGCTCTCTCTGGGTGGGTGGAATGATCACTCAGCATCACTCAGCGCGATGCTAGTCAGCGCAGGCGTCTGTTAGCTGACGTAACAGATCTGGCGGTTGGCGCTTTCCTCTGAGCGCGTTCGGATGTCCAGTGACGTTGCGTGAGCGGCAGCTCGAAAAAGAAGTGGTGGTTGGCTTCACAGGTCTCAGAGGAAGCCTGTGTTAGCCTTCACCCTCCTAGCGTTGATAGCATTGTGTGATTGGGGGAGTCCTAACTAGCGGGTGGAATTGGAGACGACTAAATTGGGGAGAACATCGGGTAAAATTTTTTTAAAAAAAGGGCTTGTTAATTAGCTGATTTAGTTTAGTTGAGCGTGCAAGAGAGCAGGGGAGGACTACTCCATGACCAGGGTTGAGGCACAATGTAGTCTTAATACACTGCCTAGTCTAATATGCTGTTTTGCGTTGTATATAGGCTCCAGTGCTGTGGCTTGCAGTTTGTAGACGCTCAGTCTGTGGTGTCCCAGAGGCCAGAACTGTGCAGGGTTGTGGACAGCCCGTCCCCCCTCACGTCCCTGGACAACCTCGACTGCTGCCCAGGGAACACCGCCATGCTCGCCCACAAGAGACCGACCAGCAGTCGTCCCGTTGAGAACGGCCTGGGGAGCTGCAGCAAGCCTCCCAGGACTCCCACAGGGGTCAAGAGCACAGCCAGCATTAGAGACAAGATCTCCCAATGGGAGGGCAAAACGGAGAACGCTGGACCAAACCTGCAGGCAGCTGTTCAGAAAGAGGCTGAAAGTGTGAGGAAGAAAGATGTTAAAGCTACAGAGGTACAAAGGAGAGATAGTAAAAGAGGTTGTAGCTGGGAGAGACAGGATGCTGGTAAGGAGAATGGGAACAGGCTTGGAGATACAACGTCTGAGGCATGTACGAAGGAAAGAGAGGTGATATTAGACAAAATGCCTGTGGGGAAAACAACAGAGAATGTCCAGGACAAAAAGTCAGTTTTGACGCACATTAAGAAACTTGAGCAGGCCATGAAGGAGACCCCTTCAAAGCCTTCTTTACCAGGCAACTATTTCTGTCCGCCTTCTAAAGAGGAGCAGGAGGAAACAGAGAAGAAAGCTGCAGAACCCATCTTTGGGACTCTGGACGTAGTGAGGATCGGAAGCCGTCGTGGCCGAAACAGAGACCCTGAGAACGTGTACACTGAACCTGGGGCTCCCTCCATTAACCCTCTCCCCAAACCCCAACGTACATTTCAGCACCACACTCAAACAAACACCCCAGGACCACCCCAAGGCTTGCTGAAAGGTCGGCGGAATCTGCCGCCTTTGCCCTCCATACCTCCTCCACCACTACCTTCCTGCCCTCCACCTCCTGGTGTCTGTCGGAGGCCTTGGGCTGAACGAGCTCGAGACAGCAACAACAGGTGAGACTTTTGTACTTTATGAGTGCTGCGTTGAAGTTTTTGCAGTTTATGAAACAATTTTTTTTCTTAAATGTTTACCATATGCTTGTGTGAATTAGGTGTGTGCCGATCCGATACTTAGTATCAGTATTGGTCCGATACTGGCCAAAATCACTGGATCGGATATTAGAAGAAAAAGAAAGTTTAATCTGATATGATGCATTAGGGGCGGCATGATGGCGCAGTGGGTAGTGCTGTCGCCTCACAGCAAGAATGGCTTGGGTTCGATTCCCGGCCGGGTGACCAGGGTCATTTCTGTGTGGAGTTTCTCTGTTCTCCCGTGTCTGTGTGGGTTTCCTCCGGGTACTTTGGTTTCCTCCCACAGTCCAAAAACATGCAGTCAGGCCGATTGGACATGCTAAAATTGCCCCTAGGTGTGAATGTGTATGTCTGTCTGTCTGCCCTGCGATGGACTGGCGACCCCGTCCAGGGTGTATCCTGCCTTCCGCCCAATGACAGCTGGGATAGGCTCCAGCACCCCACCGCAACCCAGAAGGATAAGCGGTTTAGATGATGGATGGATGATGCATTAGCCTAAACTAATATGTAACATGTAAATGTTTAACTAAACTATTGAGGTAGATGTGTCACAAATAGGGCTGTCAAGGAATATTCTACATTCAGTTATATAATCGAATTGTAAAAAAAAAACAGACATTCAATTGTGAAAAGTAATATTTGATTGTGAAAAAGCAGCATTAGCATGGCTGTCTGCCTCACAAGTTCTCATGTTGGCCTGGGACGCTGCACTGAAAGCCCTGCATGATGGACAGGAGTCATACAACATCACTTTCATGATTTAAAATTAAATGTAGATCAAGCTCACATGAGCGAATAGGTCAACAACAGTCATGTGGTAGTGATGGCAGAGTTCACAACCCAACTCGGCCACAGTGAGTCAGCAGACAGCAAAGTTGTGGAACCTCGAGATAAAGTTGTATGCAAGCTTTGTAAGCTGCAGTTAGACTACCATTCCAGCACTAGCAACCTGAGGGCACATGTCAAAAACAATTCAATTCCTGAATCCAAGAACTGAATCTGATGCAACACTCATGTTTTATTGGTTTGCTCTCTTAATGACATAAAAAAAGATATTCAAATGGTGCAAACCTATATGTTCATTTCTGGCATATTTTGACAGCCTTAGTTACGAAACAGATGAGCAGCGTGTGTAATGTGAACGGTAGCTTGAACGTGAGCAAGACCAGTCAGCCGCGTGGTCATCATATTAGCTCTGTGGAGTTAGTAATGCAGCTAATTTGATATCTGGCATAATAGCCTAGAGTTTCAGTTGTGGGTGCTTTACAATGCCATGTCTACTGCACTTTGTTCCACTGTACATTGTATGCTATTATTTATACGTTAAGTTATACTATATATGTATATATGTAAGTTCTGGTCTACATTGGAATTTATTTTTTGCTATGTCATTGAGGTACAGGCTACACTGAGTGTTGAAACGTTTGCACAGAGTTGCAGAATTCTGTGTGTGAAAACAGTTTAAATAAAAAGAAACCGGTTTTAAATAACTGAGTCTTGTTGCAGGCTATGTATTTCCTCCTTTAGGCGAGTACAATATTTGTTTCACAGTTTGATCATGATGTTATTTAGATGGCTTGGTTGAGCAAAGTACATTCAGACAAATGTATTATGAACAGCTTAGTTGTTTAATAAGTAGGGAAAAAGTTGGTATTGGATTGGTATCAGTGTCAAAGTGGTATTGAGTCATACCTAGTGTCAGTTTTACATTACTGAATGAGTACTCAGTGAGTTTTGGATTCGGTGCATGATGTACCACATGTGGATTTGTTCTGTGAGAGAAAAACAAGTCCTCTCTCATTAACATAGCCTGAAGGTTGCATTGTCGTGCGGAGGAAATATGACTACTCAAACCTCTGTGATCTCTTCTCTCTGGGGAGTCATCAGATTGACTGTGATCTTAGTTACTGAGAATTAGACTGAGAATTAGAGAGGATCCTCCCACATGTTAAAGTAGGGGTTCAGTGGCCTTTACTAGAGTTGGGCAACATGACAATATTTTAGCATTATTGTGATAAATTTTGTTATTGTGATAAGCAGTTTTCTTAGCATTTTATGGATATCATCTATATTTCAAAGACACTAAAGAGCTGCATACTTCTTTAAAAAGAGAGCATGATTAGTCCTGTTTAACTGGATTTAGTGCCATGCAGTATGTGAAACAATGAACAAAAATCATTGGACTCATGGCAGTTTTTAAATACTTTGGTGAAGCTTGAGTCCTTTTATTCAGGTAACCATGTGGAAAGTAACCATGGTAAACGGTTAGAATGGGCTGATGGTGGTGGAGGGGTTATTTTAAAAGGTTTTCTTTACCTTTTCATCTAGTATTTTTGTGACAGCAGCAAGCACAATGATAGCATATGAGTTGTAGCTTAATATTTGTCAAATAATAGAAAATAATAAAAGCATAGTTCAGTAAAAGGTGTGGTTGTAGTTCATTGTTATCTTTAATTTGGCCACTGGTTACTAGTTAATCTAATAAGAAAGAACAGGATTGCGGATGTCATATGAATATCCTGAGTTTGTGGTCACTATGATGACTTCCTCTCCAAAGCAATTTTGCCTGAGGCCATTTGAAAAGGCCTGTTTTCCCTGATAAACAAGAGCTGAGACATGTGTAGAGACATGGACTCGTGTTTTTCCCAAGACATGAAGTTGATCTGTGAAACCTGGCGCTGTGGTATGAAGATGTCCTAAAATGTACATCGTAACTTAGGCGGCTTTTTGTACGGCAGGCATGACATCTGTCTGCCACACCAAGCATGTTCAACCAGCTCAGCTGTATTACTAGAGCAATCTTATCTAAGCTAGCTACAATAAATGTGATATTAAAGTAGGATGTTGCATCACAGCATGTTCAGTCATGTTCACATGTGGGAATACTGTCTTGCTGTGGTTTGAATGAAGTAGATCAATAAATGGACAACATTTTTTTAAACTGTTGGTAAACAAGTTTTTACTGTCGCTGGGAACTGTTACTGCAGTTAACCGTCACAGAGCACAGGCCTGACTGTGATACTTATTGTTTCTTGTAAAAATGTCTTGCGCTATGATATTTTTATCGCCTATATCTACTTTGCCCACACCTAGCCTTTACAGTGTCCATTACACAAGGATTGTGTAAGATCACATGGCATAACACAGCAATGGGCAAACTTTCATTAGACATATTTTTCTTTGATGGGGAAAAATAACATTTAGAACATTTAGGATCACAATAAGCCAACAAAACAGTCCAGTATGAATGAGTCTGAAATGTCAGACTAATGAAATGGTTCAAGGAAAGAAGTTCTGGACTTTGTTTTATGAATTTGAAACAGTTTGATTCAGTGTTTTAGTCTTGTCTGACCCCTTTTACGCTCATACTTGAACATGTTCAGTTGATTTCTCAAACTATTTTTTACTAATTTGTATGGAGATCTGAGGTTACACATTAGCCAATGGGACAAACAGTCTTATGTTATCCCAATAGACTTTTACATTCAGCAATTTCCTGTAGTCCCTGCCGCTTCTTTGCTTGACCTTCTTATTAATTCTCTCTACTTGTTATCTTTTTTGCTCCAGGTAGATGTTGCTCCTTTAAAGCATCTCCTGTCCCTCACTATAATCATGTTATTGATGACTGCACTGCTTACATATTGACATAACAAGGTATATTTGGACAATACATTTGAGCACATTTGAACTCTTTGTCATTAACTTTTATTGTTTTGTGCTGAACCTGCAGGAAGTCATATGAGTTTGAGGACCTGTTGCAGTTGTCCACTGAGGGCTGTGGAGTGGATTGGTACGCTCAGTCAAAGCTGGGGCTCACACGCACTTTATCTGAGGAGAACGTCTATGAGGATATCCTAGGTAACACACTACACCCTTTCCCAGTATAGCCAACTGATATGATGATGAAGCAGGAGATGGCCTAAATGGAAAATTTAAGCCACTTAAGAGAGAAAGAAAGAGAGAAATTATTAATATAGAAATGATTTCTCCTGTTTTTATTTTCCTCCATTGTTCCACTTGGATATGTGTGGAATATATTCTTATTATGAATGCCCTTCTCCAAGACGAATGTAACAAGTGGAAATTATGAAAAAAACGAGAAAAACAAACTTAGTCCGGAGATTTGGCTCTGTGTGGCTAACGAACATGTGGATATCATTCTGGAGGGGTCCTTCCTTTATTAAGAAAGACTTTATTGAAAAAAGGACAGGAGCATATGGGTTTCTTTGCTTTGTTCCATTATCAGTTCCTCCTACAACGGTTACCCCACATCAGAGACTTATTGCAAGCCTCAGATCACCACTGCATAACGTAAGGGCTTAACTGTGCTGATCTGTGCTCGCAGGAGAAGGGGCAAACATTAAAATGATCCAGAACATGTTCGTTTTTATGTGATTTTTGGCTGTGAGTCATTGATGATTTCACAATGATGATAAATTTGTTAAACTTGATTTGAATTTAGAGCTCCAGAAACAAAGAGAAGTAGTACAGTAAAGGTTATTGTGGGATGTCGAAAACACAATGTACACATCTAGAATGCTGTTTATTTTCTCAATTTGCTGTAATATTGCAGAGTGATGATTACAGTCTACAGTTTTGTGCAAATGTCAGAGACCACCCTGCATTCGTTTAATTTTCAGTAAAAAGTTATTCATTATTTGTTGTCAGGAGAAATAACAGAAAGTGTATTTAACAGAAAATTACACATGAGCCTCCACAGCTAAATACCATATAGTTTTTTCAGTATATAGTGCATCCAGTGTTTTCATTTATTACAGCTTCCATTCTTTTCAGGAGATTTGCTTTTAGTTTTTCAAAGAAATCTGCCAGGATATTTTTCTACACTTCCAAAGTTCAGTCTTTTTATTTTTTGCTTTTCACAAACTCAAACACACACAAAACAAGTAATCCCAAAACACATCCAGTGTTGTTGAGGCCTGGACTCTGGGGTGGTCAGTTATTTGATTTGCAAATTTTCTTCTTTTTTGTCCCTTTGCATTTCTCAGTAACAACTTCTTGACAGCTACACATCCTTTCAGACTCAGAGTGTTGAGTTGTCTTCTCACAGTGGAAAGATGGACAGAAACACCTGGGGATTTTTTCAGATCTAAAGCAAGAGTGTTGCACCTCTCTCTCCAAAATAAAAGCTTTAAGTGCTGTATATCTAATGGTCTAGTGGTCTAGCAGGTCCTACTCAGTTGTTTAGCTGTAATAATGTTTTTAACTCCAGTTTTGGAATCTCCTCTTTTTCATTTGACTTTCCTGTTCCTTATGCAAGATTATTATTTCTGAATATTAATAATGAGTTTATTTCTTCTGAATATCTCCTGAAAAATGAATAATTTATACTTAATGGTTGTGTTGACTGAAAATTAAATATGAAGGGTCTTAGACTTTTGCAGAGTACTGTAAGTGTCACGACTAAGACAACACTGTGGAAAAGACAGGTTTTAGACAGGCGTGAAGAGCTCTTAAAAGGGTGTTGATTCATGCCGTTTAGGACAGCAGTTTCTTCATTCATCATAAATGCAGAGAGCAGCGTGTGCTCTTCAGGTCTGGGACTGGATGTCCCTGCCTCAAACTCTCCTCCCACTGGTCGCATCTGGTGGATGAATCGACGTGGGAGAGGAGTTGTGTGTCTGAAAAAACACCCCTCTTTCCTTTTTCTCTCTTTCTCTTTCCATCTTCTTCCTCCCTGTCTCTCTAACTCTGTCTTTCTGTTTCTGTTTCCAGTCCTCTTGCATATCGCATGTTTGCATAGATCGCAGCCTAGCTAGTTGCTAATGGTGTTAGAGTTAGTAGATTCCTTGGCGAACTGTCAAACATCTGGAGCAAAGGAATAAGAAGGAAAACAAAACATGACGTCACTCTGAACCCCATCATGGAAAAAATGGGAGTGAAATGGAGGAGTATTGACAGGGGGATATTAGCAGAATATACTCAGTAAAGCTAATGCTGCTGTACGAGTTGTTTCTAGTGCATGACTGCTGTAGAGTAAGATGTTTACTTAAAATCATTTGCTTGTACATTCTGCAGACCCTCCATCAAAAGAAAACCCTTATGAAGACATAGAGTTAGAAAACCGTTGTCCTGGAAGCAAATGTGCTGTGCCCATGTCACCTTCCTCACCCACTCCAGACACCCCAATTAAGGTATTTACAGATCCCCATCTTAAAGTGAGTGTTTGATGTCGGCATTTAAAGAGGAATCTTTCAAATAAAATCACTGTGTGTAACTAAAGGGTTAAGATGTAATAAAAGGTATTCAGAGTGAACTTATGGAGTCAGGATTGTTGACAACGGTGGTGATAGGAACCAGACATCTGAAGAGTTTAAAGCCTCTAAAACCAAACCTCACAGGAAGTTATTGTATGAAATAATGACATATACGGTGCCTGTTACATTGTTTTACTATAGTTTTGATACTGTTTTGGCCTAAAACGTATTGTTTAAAAGCTATAAATATGGCGGAAAGGCACATGCCAAGCATTGTATGGCCATGTAGTCTCCAAAGTAAACCTGTTTTTTCGCATGTTCTAGTTCACCATTATCAGCATTACATAAAACACTCAGATGTATGTATGTTCACTGGTCATTTTGGTAGTAAATAAAATGGTTTTATTTGTGCTGCAGACATCTGAGGTTGTAAATTTCTTTACAAAGTTACACCAAATGACTTACTTCTCAACAGCTGAATTATGCATAGGTTTTCACAGCATGTAATAAGAGATAAAACTTGTTAGTAAGAGATAGTAACTCTTTTGGAAAGTTTCTGTATTTCTGTAACTTAACTCTTCATTCCCACTGATGCCAGCTTTCCTCCAAGCCTGGCTTCTTCAGGCAGAACTCAGAACGGCGCAGCTTCAAACTGTTAGACCTGCGCAAGACCAACAGAGATGGGGGTATAGCGTCACCATCAAGAATAAGCCCACCTTCAACCCCCAGCAGCCCTGATGACACGCCCTGCCTCTCAGGAGACCCCTACAACCGCAGACGAAGGAAAATCCCCAAGGTAGCATGAAGGAGGCTGGTTTCTGTAATCCATACCTTATGTAATTGATTTATGGCTCCACTCAGGGGAAAATAGCTCTGTTCAGCATCTACAAAGAAAATGCTGCAGACGCTAAAGACTAACCTTAAAGATTTGTGGAAAAAAGGTGGAAAAGGGAAAAGGGACATTTCCTTTAGTGCTCATTAATGAAAATCTTGGACAGACGTTTTGAAAACAAACACAGTGAAACTCCCCCTGATAGAGATAGTGGCTGTTTTCTTTTCCAACAGATGGTGCTGAAGATCAATGGCATCTTTGAGGCCAGGAGGGGGAAGAAGAGGATGAAGCGGGTCTCGCAGTCAACTGATTCCAGCTCAGGACGAGGTGCGTCTGAGGACAGTTATAGACCTAAAACTTTATCTCACATATATCTCACGAATGTAAATTTCCGACTTAATAATTATCTGCTATGTTCCATATGATGTGAAAGTGATTTGGGTTGTAATGGTGAGCTCTGGTCGCATTTGACACTAGTCAGTCCATAGGAGGCCTCAGCTAGTTGCATGCTACATGCTCTGCCTTGTTCAACGGTTCTCTGTACCCCTCCACATGTGTGTCCACTTAACTTTTTAGACACGTTTACATTTTTGGGTCATTTGCGTTTGACATAGTTTTCCAAGGACGGTAAAGTTATGCTGCTTTATGGGATGCACATGTGCACCTAAGCCTAAAGTATGTGTGAGTGAGTAGCTGCATACAAATTTCTTGAAATCTTGTCACATTTCCTGCCTGTTTCTTTTGATACAGTGACGGACGAGAACAGTGAATCTGAGAGCGACACAGAAGAAAAACTCAAAGGTGAGCAAAGAAAACTGAGTAGCTTGACTATCTAAAGGCCCTTGCAGTTTGATGCCTGTGTTTTCTCTGTAAGAAGTTAGACATGCATGGGGCTACATGTGTCTGTAGAGTCTGACTTTGTTTCACTGATATGTAATAGCTCACAGCCAGAGGCTGGTGTCAGTGCAGTCCATGCTAAAGCAGACGGGCCGATATCGCACACTGGAGAGAGACCTGATGGACCTTCAGGAGAGGAAGCTTTTTGAGTATTTCCTTGTGGTGGCACTCCATAAAACCAAAGCGGGAGCACCCTATCTGCCTGAGGTCACTCAGCAGTTCCCCTTGAAGGTACTCTGTGACCTTACTGATCCGTGTTATTAGTCTGGAAAAAAAAATCAGTGTCCATGGATGATGGATGATGTGGGACAGTTTACACTGACCAGGTGTGATAAAAGTCCAAGGTCAAGTTCACAAAAGAAGAAATTTATGTACATACATTTGGTTTAGACCGTTTTTATTGTTTTCTTAAGAAGGCTATCGAATTATGTCAGCCAGTTCGGGACAGTGGTTCTCAGTCCTGGTGTCCCAGTGGCTCATGTGATACAGCTTTTCCTGCTCTAACATTTGCAGTTCACCTCAGGAAGGTTTTGTTAATTAGTTCATAATTTGCATCCGGTGTTGGAAGTTGAGGTGTTCCATGATTAATGCTATTTAAAAAGGCAACTGATTTTTCATTTAGGAATGTAAAATGTCACTTTTCCCCTTTAAACAGCAAACAATATTATGTTGCAATAGAAGGTTAATAGAAGGTACTGATACTACTGTGGTTTATATCCACTTAGCCAACATAGTGTGATACATAGTGTATTCAAGTCATAAAAAAATCATGATCAGTGCACCTCTAGGGGAAACACTAAACACATTGAGAACTACTGGTCTAAGATAATTGTGAGGTTATCGTAATGTTGTAACAATATTTAAAAAAAAATATGGCTTGTTCTGGCAATGTTCTTAAGAGAACATGGAAGAAAGGAATATTAATCATTCTAAAGGAGTTTGTTAAAGAATAACAGTTGTAAAAAACGCTTTTTTGTAACTTTTTTCTTAGACTGAAGTTCAGAAAAGTACCAAATGTAGGACTCTATGGCATATCTTTACATGTTTTTGTTGCTGAGTGTTGTCTCATTTTTAATATTTAGCTTGAGAGGAGTTTTAAGTTTATGAGGGAGGCTGAGGACCAGCTGAAGGTCATCCCCCAATTCTGCTTCCCTGATGCAAAAGACTGGGCTCCTGTGGACAGTTTCCCCAGGTGAGATATTTGTCCTCTGAGACAGCAGTTCACATTGTAAAAAACTTCAGGACAATCTCTCATACAGTTTTGTTTCAAACATTTCTTTAGTGAGACCTTCTCGTTTGTCTTGACGGGAGAAGATGGGAGCAGAAGGTTTGGCTACTGTCGGCGCTTACTGGTGAGTTGTTCTTTGTGCTGCTACATCTGATTTTTTGTTCAAAATCTGAATGGACAGTTATTTGAAGCCCACCCGTGGGAAAGTTTACTGATGGGCTTTTATTAATGTGACGGAAGTGTCTCCCTCTTCTTTCATTTCCTTTGCTCAGCATGTACTTTATTTCTGAATGTGAGATTTTGCTCGTGTTGAGTCAGTTCATGTTGAGTCTCCTCTGCACAACTGCTGCTTGCTCTGATGTAAAGTAGAATGTAGAGGATGACAGCCTGAGTGTGTGTGTTTGTTCACACAGCCCAGTGGGAAGGGGAGGCGTCTGCCTGAAGTCTACTGCATAGTGAGCCGGCTGGGATGTTTTGACCTCTTCTCAAAGGCATGTCCACTTCACTCCACAATAAGATAATATAAGCAAGACAATGCTGAGGAATCCTACACAAAGCAGTATGAGTTCTTCTGTTTTTACCAAACTGAGAGTGGGTTTGTGTGTTGCCCTTATTTAGATGCTGGATGAGGTTGAGAAAAGGAGGGCCATTTCTCCTGCTCTGGTGCAGCCCTTCATGAGGGGCATAATGGAGGCTCCCTTCCCAGCCCCGGGCAGAACCATTACTGTGAAGAACTTCCTTCCAGGATCAGGCACTGAGGTGGGTTCAGTCACAGACAGTTTTTTTTTAATCAACAGCTGTTTTTTGTTGTTTTTAAATACAAATCACTGACTTCAGTTAGAAATGCACATGCTGTAAAATGATAGATTGGTAGTGTACCACTTCTTCACCGGTGTGATAAAAATAAAGCAAAAAAGCAAAAAAGATGCTGCCATGCAAGACAGCCACAATAGAGACAGTCATTCAGGTTACAAATAAAATTCGTTTCTAACTATAAATCACATTTACATAACTTCTTAAATATAACTCTCTCTTTCTTTAGGTGATAGAGCTGTGTCGTCCCTCTGACTCTCGTCTGGAGCATGTGGATTTCGAGTGTCTCTTCTCCTCTTTGAGTCTGCGTCTCCTCTTGAGGGTCTTTGCTTCTTTGTTGCTGGAACGGAGGGTCATCTTCACAGCAGACAAGCTCAGGTATATCAGTTTACTCTGTAAAGCTTTTGAGGTAGAGATTTCTGGCCTCAGTGGCCAGAAAACTAGCTGTAATGCAAAGTTTTTATGCAAACCTAGAATATGATTATACTGTATTAGAGTTAGAACATTTAGTTAAATTCAGAGAGTTTGTGCGCCAAAGTTTTTGTATGAATTACAGCACGTTAGTGTTCAATGGAGAAGACAAGAAGAGAAAGATGTGACACTAGAAGAGGAGGAAAAGTGCAGCCCATGGAATCATTTGTCACAGTTAAGAGACAGATATGGAAAAAATGCAGTACTGTTATAATGTTGCCATGGGAACGAAAGTCAAAGGGCTTTTTTTCTTTCTCTGGAAAACACTCGATTGGGCCAGAGGCTAGTCTTAGCGTAATGGAGATGGACTCTGAACTGCATTGTGTACAGTCGGAAAGACCATAAGCACAATATCTTCTCCCCCAAAGGTTTCAGCTAGAGTTGAGCAACCCACTCTACGCACAATAAATTGATTTCCTTCTGCTTGAGTATCTTCCAGTGCTCGTTAAAACCAGCAAGAAGATAGTTGACTTCAGAGGAGATGACGTGTCATTGCTCAGAAATGAGTGGAAACTTGGCTCTGTCAGTTCAGATTGTTACTGAATGAACATAAATGAAAACAGATTCGCTCACAGACACAAGATATTAACCTTATGTCATAGGCACTTGTTTGCTCACCATGATGACCAGCTTTGGTACATTTAGTCCACTGCAGCCGGTAATGTGTTTGTTTATGCTAGGGGATATTTTGTTATCCTCCTTGATTTACTATACTTTACCTAACAGTTTTCATGTGCTGAAGGTCCAGTTTCAAGATAGGAGCGAGAAAAGAAAGAATAGTGAAAGAACTCTTTTACCTTAACGCCACCTTGTGGCGAAAGTGATCAAGCACTGGTACTGCCTCAAGATTTTGTTGCTAATCCTAGTGTTATAGTACTTGAGTCTGGTCTCATTCTCAGGACCGTAAATTAAAGGTCTCAGTCTTGTCTTGGTCTTGAGATCATTTGGACTTGTCTCAGCCTCAGGGTAAGGTGGGCTCAGAAATTGTTCTTGAGAGTAAGAACAATGGTGTAAATGCCTCTGCAAAGCGATGCCTCTGCCTGAGGTAATTATAAACTGAACTTATTTCTATCAATATGGAATATCAACAGAACCTTCAAACTGAATAAAACAGTATTTTCTCTACATGTTTAAATAAAATCTGTTTACTGCCAGTTGAGGATCTTTGATCTTTTCAATGTGGCTTAACTGGATATTATTTGTTTGTTGTTCATTGGTTCCAACATTCAGATTCCCCTGAGGGAAGATAAGAAAGTTATTATTAGTGTGTTTTAATTTAATAATAAAAATGTATGTATTTTGTTTGCTTTATATTCAGTTGACTTTAGGTGGTGATTCTGAATATGTTTTAGAGAAGACGGACAGAGAATATATATATATATATATATATATATATATATATACACACACAATCTAAATACATTGGACACAATCTAAATAGTTGGACTCGCCCCTGGTGGTCTTGACTACAATACTACTTAAACCCCAGTATTACATCTGTTAATAGGGGGAATATTCTCAAAAAAGGTTCACATTATCTGATGTGTTCCTGGGGGGAGTAACATTATGGCCAGTGAAGAGTGATTATTTTTATTTCTCTCATCTGTCTGGCTGTAGCACTCTCTCTCAGTGTTGTCACGCGGTCGTGGCCCTGCTGTATCCCTTCACATGGCAGCACACTTACATCCCTGTTTTGCCGCCCTCCATGATGGACATTGTGTGCACTCCAACTCCTTTCATCGTCGGCCTGCTATCCAGCTCTCTGCCACGCCTCAAGGAGCTCCCCCTTGAAGAGGTGAGACTCTATCAGTAAAATACATGTAAAACACATCCTCACAAGTAAATTATTTGAATTAAGTAATACATAGTTTAGAAGTAACAAGTAGTTATTGTTTAAAAAGCTGCATGAAATTACACATTTGATCCCTTCCTCTCACCTTACTTGTACTTATCGTAGATTATTATGACTCGAAAAGGAAGGAAATGGCAGCCAGAACAAGATGTGAATTCCTCTATTAATAGTTTCAAGGGGCACACAGAGAGTAATGGCAATGACAAGGAGTTTTAAGGGTGGAGTGTTTCTAATATTTTCCTTAAGCTCTTCCTGTTCAGGTGGGCTCTATTCGCTGTCCGTGACCCCTGACCTCCTTCCTCAGTCAAACAATGACTGTGTGCAGCTTGGGCTGAGACTGCCACCCTCATAGGAAATTACATCATTCTGTCCTGTTCTCTCCCTCAGGTTCTGGTGGTCGACCTTGGCAATAGTCGTTTCCTACGACAGGTATATAGACATCCTACAAACTGCTTCATATTAGACCTCTCAGTGACTCAGTACATGATCTAGGTAGAAGTAACAAACTAGTTTGAATGGCATGAATAATGAATGAATGACTGAATTGTACAGAAAGAAGCTCAGTATAATTTAACCCCTTCAATCCTACTGGCCCATACATGGTCCACACTTCAATTCCTTACTTACTATCATACCTACGCAACTCACAAATTAGTTTCATATCATTTATATTAGTTACTGAATAACAAGTCTTAAGATGAATAATAAATCTGTAGTTTGAGAACAGAGTATTAACTGCTCTGTACCAGTCCTGTCTCTACATCTTGTCATGATCCACTGTTTCCTTGTTGACATCCTCTGTCTATATGTGTATCCTCCTCAGATGGACGATGAAGATTCCATTCTGCCCCACAAGCTGCAGGCCGCTCTGGAGCATGTTCTGGAGAGGAGGAGGGAGCTCGCCTGTGACAGAGGAGACCTTCCCAATGGTATATTTCAGGAAGTTAAACCACAGGAACTTGTGGGAAAAAAAAACTTCCACTGTCATTTTTAGTACAGTTAATTGTTTAACTGATGTTGGAGTTTTTTGTGGTGTTGTTTCACCAAGTCTACTTTATGTTCCTTATGTTGAAAAAGACACAAGGAACATAAAGTAGACAGAGGGCAATTTTAATTACAGCCCACAAGTTTTGAATGATTTTTTTTTACGTAATAATGCAGAGCATCTGAACTGCTTGTAGATGAGTTAGACCAATCAGGAGCGACCAAATATCCACATGATTTGTACATGACAACACAACCACAACTAACTGGCCATATGGCACACTACCTTCAACGCTCGAACCTGAAGCCTGAAAAGTGGATATACTGGTCTTCCTGGACCTTTAATTTATAGAAAATAATTACAATTTACAATTACAATTTAAATCACAGTCATAATACTGGTAAAAAAAATCTCAATTAGACATTTTTCCCCAAGTTGTTCAACCCTAATCTCAAGTGTTACTCATTTGTCTTGTGTTTCTTTAGAGCACTGCTCTCTGAGTGCTGTGGCGTCCGAGGCTTTTGTCCGCTTTTTCGTGGAAATCGTTGGACACTACTCACTCTTCATGGGAGGCAGTGAGCGTGACGAAGAATCCTCAGCCTCCTCTTCCTCTTCTCCCACACCGCTGTCCTTCCAGCGCGAGGCCTTTCGCAAGGCTGTGTCTTCTAAGAGTCTGCGGCGCTTTCTTGAGGTCTTCATGGAGACGCAGATGTTCGCAGGCTTCGTGCAGGAGAGGGAGCTGAGGAGGCAGGGACTGAGAGGTGTGTTTTCACTGTGCTTAATCTTTAAAACGTACTCCATTTGTGACACATGACATGTCATTGAGTCTCAACTGCTGAACTACTCACAAAAAGGTCAGGTCAATGATGATTTTTCTTTGATGAACAGTATTGTGCAAAAGTCTGTGTGAAGCACGTCATGATAAATCTTCCTTGACAGTAAATGTGTTCTTGCCTGTAAGAGAAGCATATAACATTAGAAAACATGCAAATAAACATAAATACAGTAAAAAGTAACAGGAATTTCTTCTCCTCGATACCCCCAGTCGTCACATAGAGTTATTAAGCCCATCTAAAGCACACCAGACTTAGCATAATGCAGCATAGATTAGCCAAACCAGGTATAGGATGATAACTACAAATAATACTGGGCTATCATGAGAAGAGGATTGGAAATGATTAAACCACCTGTGTCGGGCTCCAGTCCTCGCAGGCCAGAACACTGCAGACCTCAGCACACTGCCTCAATAAACACACCTGATTCAGCTCTTTGGCCAATTAGCAAAGCCTTAATGAACTGAATTCAGAGTGTTGGATGTGGCTAAACGCTAATCTCCACAGAACTTTGACCTGGAAGGTCCCCAGTTGTCTGATATACGTAAAATTGCTCATTCTTTTGTTAATGTGATTTGTATTTATTCTAATATTGTGTTTTTTCTTTTTTTCTGTTCTTTTAATATAATTGTACTATTTTTTTGTACAGTACTGTATGTTAAAAAAATATATATAAATATTAACTTTATGGGGTGTATTGGTGCCTTTATCCTATATCCTGTCAAGCTGACATTTTACATACTGTTTTTCTCTTTGGTCTTTATCAGTGGTGCTGATAATTCTGGTGAGCACAGTATGTTTTCATTAAACATGCTAAAATGTTAAAGAATCTTTTCTCAACCCACAGGGCTGTTTGAGGTGAGGGCCCAAGATTACCTGGACTCCCTGCCTGGAGCTGAGCATCGCGGAGTCAACAAGTTTCTGAAAGGTCTAGGTAAGCTTTCTATTTCTGCCTGAAATCAGTCATTCTTATAAAGACATTCAGTCACATTTAGTTTTTGTATTGGATAATCATTAAACTCAAATACATCTGTCTCTTGCAGGACACAAAATGAAATTTCTCTCCTCCAAAAAGTGACGTTTCTCTCCACATTGGGTGGATGGTGTTCAAGCAACGTGCTGCACACCAAACCAACTCCACAGACTGACTCTGCAGAGGAACTGAGCACTCATGGCAGCACTGAGACTGCAAGGAGAAACCATAAGCTCAGCAGTAACATAAAACTGTGCAGACATAAAGCCAAAAATTGTTATTCTCCCATTTAGATCCAACCAGTACAACGGTCATTTTTCACTGTAGACTGGATGTTGGATAACAGACCACTTTCCATACCATATTCCATAAGGCCAGATGAGGAACTTGGACTTACATGAAGGTGTGGACCAAAGTTTTTATTCCTGTGTACAGGTTTCCTTTTTCACATTTTAAACATTATTTGCTTATCAACTTTTTGTAAGAAATAGAGTACAACTTCTTCTTAAACAGGGGGCAATAAATTAATTTATATTCTTTGTAGAAAAAAAGACCTTTATAATTTCTTCTGTTTTCTTTAAAATCTAAACAAAACATAAAAACTAGTGTGAGTTTGTTATGGACTATTTATCATGGTATATTCCAAACTTGAGATTGTTTTGGGCTTCTGAGTAAAATACCACTGTGATTGGTCAGTTATGTTGGGGGGATGAATGGGAATAGGAAAAGAAAAAAGAAACCATTGTTGGCTGAAATCTGGAAACTGACAGGTTGATGGATGCAGTTCCACAGCAGTTAACCTATCTTGGGGATTCTGCACACAAATCTGAAAATGTTGGACCAAATTACGCAATGGACATGAATTACATGTTCTCTCTGACGTTATCAGACACCACTAGATTCGCCTTGAACTTGATTTTAAGGAACATGCTGGTCTCCTGTCCAAATGTATCATAGCTGTGATTTGACTTGTCTAAAACATGCCCAGTTTACATTCAGACTAGATGGTTTTTGTAAATCAAGAATCTTAACATTCCAGCCCCCCATCTGTGCCACTGGGGGGCACTACAGAGAGAACTTAGCATCTTCTTTTGTGGATTTTTTGGCATTCTGTCTAAAATCAGCACTCCTGACTTTTTGCAGTCTTTCATTTAAAAAAAGCCACACTCCTCCTTTTTGTATAATTTCATTGTTCTGCTGTCAGTTCAGCACTGTAGCAACCGCTGAACGCTCACTGGCAATGAGCCTAAAACTGGACAGAAGCCCCATTCCACTAAAAAGGCACAAGAAACCAAGTAAAACAAGGCATTAATACTCAAAATGGGTACTTTTCTTTTTCCTTTTTAGTTTTTGACAAGGACAGTTTCATAGCTGTTACACATTTTGCCATGAAGATCAGTTTGTTAAAAAGTCATAAAAATGTATTAAATAAAGTGATTTTCACAGAACATTGTAGCCGGTTGTGATGACATTATAGCAATTGTGAGTAAAATGTTTTACGTTGTGTCCTGTCAATATAGATCCCATCAGCAAAACAAGTACACCTGATGCTCATTTAAACGATTCATTTTACATTTGTTTTACTTGTTTTAATATAGAAAATGAAGCAGTGTTTTGATAAACAGCACCAAACACTCTGTCTTCAGGTGAAGATGAGTGCTCCATTAATACTGCCTTTTCCTCAAACACATCCTTCTCCCATCTTAACCATCTTAACGGTCCCAGAAATTCACTATGCTAATAAAAGGACAAACTCCTGCCGTTTAAACCTCTTTACTGTCCCACACGGGCAGCCAGTCCACTGAGAGTCCACTGAGCGCCGCGTCTCTCTCTGACTGTACTCCTTCACTTTTGTCTCTCCACTCAGACTCATGCTTTTCCTTTTCAGCTCGAGCGCCTCCCTCACTCCTCACACCCTCCACCTTTTTCCTTTCTCTCTGTCTCGCTCTCCTTCTCTCCCTCCTCTTCTTACCCGTATTCCGGCAAGTCCGGTGAGTAGTGTCTCGACCTCTGTTCTGTGATTGGCTGCTCGCTCAGAGTCACAAACCGCGTGCCTATCGGAGCAAGCACTGCCAGCCAATCCCGTGGCAGGAGGGCGGGGCTTGTCCGAAAACAGGTGGTAAACAAAACCTCCGCGCCTGCCGCCTCGTCCAGCCTCCGGATCATCGCCAATTCCTCACATTCCAGCCTTCAGGCAGCTCCGTCTGCGGGGACGAAATACTCCGGCATTCCGCGCACATTTCAGCCTTTAAATACAGAGGACTCCGCCTGAATTCACTTGCCCAGACCGCTGTCTTTTAAGAGGTAAGTGAGTTTTTCAAATGTCCTCCAGTGCGGCGCCTCTTTTTCAAACACATTTTTTTTCACACAAGTTGTGCTCTGAGAAACAAACCCCGGGCGAGCGGGCTCCGAAACAGCGCTGACAGCTGCGGAGGAGCAGCTCACTTCACAGACTAACTGCAGCTACACTGAAGTACCTGAGATTTCTGAAATAGTTCTCCTCAGAGCTCCTCGCAGTCCGTCTTTCCCTCCTCGCTCCGCGGCAGACAGACTTCCTGCGCGCTCAGGCCGGAACTTTTTACACAGACTGAGTGAGGCTGGTGCGGTTAAAGATCAGCCCTCAGTCTGAGGGGCTTCTCCTCACTGAAGACCCCTCACACAGTCCGTGCACTTTAGCAGAGAGAGCACGACGAGCTACAGGTGTCCGTCTAACAGGCCTGCACGGTCAACACCATTAGACTGTAGATAAAACGCTATTATCAAACTGCTGTGGCTCAGTGTTAGTAACAGTAGCTAATAATAACAGTTATTAAATTACTAGTTTTTACGAGCCAGAAGGGTTGTTGACCTTACAACCTGAAAATATGTCGACATTTAATACATTAATTGTTTTGTCTTTAGGTAATAAGCTTTATGTAAAATGGCCAAAAATGAATAAAAGTTCATTTCAGTGAATGTGAACTGTTTATGCTGAGTCAACGAGAATTTCTTTCCAGTGAAACTGAACTAAATTTCACTGAAATATTCACATTTTGTTCCGTCAACAATTGAATTTTATACTGAGGTAACAAAGTCCTTGTATACTGACTCTACTCTGTTTGACTGAATGGAAATGTGTGGCATATTTGAATTTAGTTCATACAATGATTTATCTTTTTGAGTTTAGTTTTACTCACCCACAGTTATTTAAAACTAATCATAAATTAAGAACAAAAAGTGTAATAAATAGCAACAATCATTGTAATTATTGCTTTTATATTTTAATTACAATAGTAATAGTAATACTCAAATGACACGTCTAGTACACTCTTCCAGTTTGTTCCCAACATGTGTCATTGAAACAGAATCAGATCAGAGCATTTCTTTAACAAACTGAAAAAAGATGGATGGACACACTCTTTTAAGATTAAGTTTGTTTTCGGAAGTTTGTAGAGCTTTGATTAACCCCGTACCAAGCCAAAGTTTTATTGCATGCTTTTATAACCCAAGAAAAGCTCCATTAGTTTGCACTGAAGTCCCTGCAGTTTATGTATCATAAGCCTTAGTATGTAATAAGCCTGGAATGTTAAGAGGTTAATATGGCCTAATCAAATCTGATGAATGGTATATTGTTAAAAATGAATTTAATTACTTATTTAGATTGAAAATGAGCAGCTTCTCAAGAGACCTCTCGTTGCAGTTGGTCAAGATGTTCCACACACACTGTTCTTCTGCAGTTCCAGTATGTCCATAAGTGATGAGAAAGGATCAGGGCTGAATATATTTGGGTGGAATGCAGTATGCAGTACTATGAAGGGTGGGGGGGGCTCCACTGGGGCAACAGGTGGAATTAAAGCGACGGTACGGTGAGGAGAATGCCATGCAGTGTACACACCTCCTGGAGGTTTTGCTTTAGGGACAGCCAAAGGCCAAGCTGTTAGCTTTGGAGTGTTTGGACAGGACTGTAGGGCATACTGTGTTGTAGCTACTGTAGTTCATATACATTGTTAACAGCAGGAGTTCTTTTGCTTACTCATTCCACTTATGATCAGTGTTACTTATGTATTTGTTGCCTCTATCTTTCATGTGGCGTGAGGATGGTGAGTGACAATCAAGTGTGAATAAAAGTTATAGCGAATGTAAGGAATGGCTGTGCCTGGTCCTGTGGTCTGTGGATTTGTGGAAGGCCGGAGCTTTCTTCAGGAGAAAGTAACGAGTTTGACCTTTGCCTCGTAGCGCTGCATCACTGCGCTCTAGAGTCCAAACCTGGCATGTAAGATGATTGGTTGCATCTCCGTGTGTTCACCCAAATCTAAATGTCAGCACACGCATGTTCACCCAGATGGACCTGACAGAACCCACATGCCGCCTGACAGCAGACACATCCCTGTGTGATACAGGGCTGCATTATATGGACAAAATATCACATTTCTGCGCAGGGTGGGCGTTATGGCAGAAAGTGTAACATTGTGTTACATCACGATTTTCCTGTTTTTTAGTTTTTGTGAAGTTTAATAAGTTGGAAAAGACAATCTTTGAGTACAATGATTTCTATTCACATTTACACACACTGCACTGCACTAAATCCAGTTAAACAGGACCAGTTATTCTCTCTTTATAATGAAGTGTGCAGTTTTTCAGAAAAGCACACTGTGATATATTGTGATGTAATTTATAACAATAATGATAAACGTTGTCGTATCACACACCTCATTTGCTACATGTTGCAGCTGCAGCATAACTTGAAGCACATATTAAATAGGGATGCACCAATGATTTTGTTTATGGCTGACTCTGATTTCTTTATAACCAAAGTTTTTGTTTGACTTTTTTTAAATCTGCTCACACTGTCTGGGGTAAATGAACGTATGAAACACACTAGCACATTTACAGTATTTTCTATTAGCCAGGCTTGCAATATAAACAAAAATGCTTATTAGCATATTGCAGCCAGTATAATAGTACAAAACCTAAACAGTTTTTTACCCCCAATGTCTGAGTACTTGCTGTGGTTATAACAGAATGTTTCAGAAGGTTTGTGCTGCTATGTGTTGAGTAAGAGGCAAAATGCGTAAGTTTAGGAAACAAAAACAAAGTGTCTGTTCTATGACGTAAATCTACTGTAACATTTTATTCGTGTAACAGGCCCTGACAGTTTGCCTGTCCTGAGCTGAGTTCAGGAGCAGTGGTCAGGAGCAGTCCCTTATGGAATATAACCTAGATGTGGCACTGTATGCCTCTCTCTCATTAGTGGAGAACACACGAGTCATGAGAAACCTGTCAGCGAAAGGGTTAGAGGTGGACGATAATATCATGATACTTGAAGACAGTGTTTCGTTTTTTAGTCTGATAAGTTTGAACCTGAGGCCTCATTAATAAAGCGCACTTCTAAATTCTGAATTTGTTCTTGAGAAAAGTTCTCAGCATTTGTGCTCAGTTGATTCATAATAAAAAGAATAGCAACATCCATAACATGCCCAGAAAAAAAAATTCTCTGATGAAGTGTGATGTCATTTATCACAATAATGTTAAATATCGTTATATTTCCCACCGCCAGACAGAGTCGTTCAGTGT